AATAGAATAGAATAGAATAGAATAGAATATAATAGAATGGAATAGAATAGAATAGAATAGAAGAGAATAGAATAGAATAGAATGGAATAGAATAGAATAGAATAGAATAGAATGGAATAGATTAGGATAGGATAGAATAGAATAGAATATAATAGAATAGAATGGTATAGATTAGGATAGGATAGAATACAATAGAATAGAATAGAATAGAGTAGAATAGAATAGAATAGAATATAATAGAATAGAATGGAATAGATTAGGATAGGATAGAATAGAAGCTTCGCACCGAACTTTCTAGCAATAATTATTAGATGTATTGTTGGATAAGTTCTTAATTTTGTTACAGAGATAACCAGAAAGTTCTGGAATATGAAAATGACTTTTGGAAGCGAGTTATAACTTTAAAAAGTCCAATGAACATGAAACACAGCAATTGTGCAGTGTAAACAGACCCATTTCACAAAATTAATGATTTAAAAGTGTCAAGTAAATTTACCTGGTTTGTAACAACATAAACATCAACAAATACATTAAAGTATTGCTATGATGGCGTCTTCCTTATTCCATCGTTTTCTGGTTATCATTGTAGTCAAATTCATTTTTTAAGCCCTAACGGGTCATAAATTAAGTTGGGCATTTAGCTATCGTTTGTTTTTTTAAGACTTTTAAGATGTTTGGTCCTGTAAAAGGATTCACAACATTTTTAATATTTTTTTTTAACTTCAGAACTGTTTATTGTAAACATTTGCTTTTCTATTCACAGTATCAAGTTTTAATCCTAGAAGAAATATCTGAGGGAGGATATTTAAGTTAAGAAGGAAAAAAACTGAAAAAGTGCTTAAAAGGGCATTTCGTATCAATTATTACCGTTTCTTTTCACCATAGTTGTCAGTGACAAATTGCTTGAAAGAAAAGCTATCACCGGGGACTTAGTGCAATTTCTACTCTCTTTAGGGGAAAAATCTCGAAAGAAACTTTAAGGAAAAATGAATTCAATCACGAAACCTCTCCCTTTAACCATAGAATGATATCTAAATATGTGGTGTGGGTGCCCAGTTGTATTACCTAGTAAGAGGTGAGGTAGTGGATAGTTTAATCACCAGACCAACCATAGGAACTGCTGGCTCTAGATTAATATTCATCGTTTTAAAGGCACAGACATTGTTATACTTTTAACTTTAACTGCATGTCCGATTACCAACGGTACCCTTTAAACCTCTAGGATAAGTAAATCTAAGGGATATGTCAGTATTTTATCCATTTAAAAAGTGTTGGATTTTGTTCATTTCCTTTAATGTTTCTAAAATGTGGAAGTCATTGGAACAGAGAAACCAATTAAAATAATCAATTTTCAACTTGACAAATAAAAAAATATCTTATTTTTGATCAGACAAAGGTTTATAGGATACCATTGTATATTAGACAAGGACCACTTGAAGCCTCCATTTCAGTTCCTTTGAATATATTTTTGTTTCCTTCCGTTGCATACTTTTATATAATTATATTCCCATTCATTTTCTATCATTCTCTCAGTTTCAATTTAATTTCCTCATAACAAAAGGAAAATAAAATCTTTAAACAAATGTTGAGAAAATTACTTTCATTTGAGCTGCGAACTTTTAAATGAATGCAACGAAAAAATCAGTTGAACTTCCTTTATGATAACCAATCTCAAATCGGTCAACATTTTGAAAGTATTTACAAATCAGAAACATCGATTTTCGAATTTTTTCAATTAAAAAAAAGGGGTCATTCATTTTGCTGCTCAATCAAGGGAGGGACAGGTAACTGTTGATTTTGTAAACGATATTTCAACAAAAGAGATACCCCTAAAAATAAGTCAGGAAATAAAATCATCATCATTTTACTTTGCATCTCAGGGTCTACAGTGAAAAAAGGTCTCCGATAAGAAATTGGTCTTGGACAGGATGACAATTGTGTTCTCCAATGAAAAGGGGTTTTCCTATAGTACTCCGATGATTTCTTCCCCGACTCCTACAATACTTAAATCTCTCACCAACTTCAAGAACACGGGATGGAAAATGACAAAGTTCAAGTTGGCTAGAAACAGAAACCTCAACCTAGAAATTTAAATTAAATTTTTTTGAAAAAACTGAACAAAATGATTAATTTTCAAATTTAGTAAAAATGTTTTTTGTTTGTTTTGCTAAATTGTAATTACAGCCTCAGCGCTGCACATTCTGTCTACTTGCATTTTCTAGGTCACCACTCCTAGAACTTTAAGTTAGTAGTTTTTATTTGCTGCGAGGGAGCAATAGCTTCCCTGCTTTGAACCTCACATTTTTACTTTCCTATGAAAGGAGGGTTGCGGAGTAGTCCCTTTTTGCCAGATGTCGAGCAAAGCCCTTCCAGAAAGGGCTCCATCGCTAAGTTAAGTGGGTATAAAACCGGATTAGTTTTAGACAAAGTAGCTCTTTGTTATTACTATTTCTTGACTTAGTACCCCTACAGTGGGTACTGTAGTAAAGAAAGGAGGCTAGCTTATTTCTGTTTATTTTATTTTGTTGATTTTGATATTTACCTTGAGTGGTGACGACTTTTTACTCTCCACTTTAACTCCTTCTTTTTGATTCTGCCGTATAATTGAAGAGAGTCTTGTCAGCTCCCTACATAATGAAATCAAGAGGACTGTCTGTATAATAGAAGAGAGTCTTGTCAGCTCCCTACAAAATGAAATCAAGAGGACTGTCTGTATAATAGAAGAGAGTTTTATCAGCTCCTTATAAAATGAAATCAAGAGGACTGTCTGTATAATAGAAGAGAGTTTTGTCAGCTCCCTACAAAATGAAATCAAGAGGACTGTCTGTATAATTGAAGAGAGTCTTGTCAGCTCCCTACATAATGAAATCAAGGGGACTGTCTGTGTAATTAAAGAGAGAATTGTCAACTCCCTACATAATGAAATCAAGGGGACGAAGAGAGTCTTGTCAGCTCCCTACATAATGAAATCAAGGGGACTGTCTGTGTAATTAAAGAGAGAATTGTCAACTCCCTACATAATGAAATCAAGGGGACTGTCTGTATAATTGAAGAGAGTCTTGTCAGTTCCCTACATAATGAAATCAAGGGGACTGTCTGTATAATTGAAGAGAGTCTTGTCATCTCCCTACATAATGAAATCAAGGGGACTGTCTGTATAATTGAAGAGAGTCTTGTCAACTCCCTACATAATGAAATCAAGGGGACTGTCTGTATAATTGAAGAGAGTCTTGTCATCTCCCTACATAATGAAATCAAGGGGACTGTCTGTATAATTGAAGAGAGTCTTGTCAACTCCCTACATAATGAAATCAAGGGTACTGTCTGTGTAATTGAAGAGAGTCTTGTCATCTCCCTACATAATGAAATCAAGGGGACTGGCTGTATAATTGAAGAGAGTCTTGTCATCTCCCTACATAATGAAATCAAGGGGACTGTCTGTATAATTGAAGAGAGTCTTGTCAGCTCCCTACATAATGAAATCAAGAGGACTGTCTGTATAATTGAAGAGTCTTGTCAGCTCCCTACATAATGAAATCAAGAGGACTGTCTGTATAATTGAAGAGAGTCTTGTCAGCTTCCTACATAATGAAATCAAGGGGAATGTCTGTGTAATTGAAGAGAGTCTTGTTAGCTCCCTACATAATGAAATCTAGGGTACTGTCTGTATAATTGAAGAGAGTCTTGTCAGCTCCCTACATAATGAAATCAAGGGGACTGTCTTTATAATTAAAGAGAGTCTTGTCAGTTCCCTACATAATGAAATCCCGTATAATTTAAAGTTTTTAAAGCTTTTAAAGGTACCATTGGAATTTAGTCGCATATGCTATTCTGTAAATTCAATTCTATTCAACTGTTAAACAGTATATTTTACCACCTGGATAATCCCAGCAATGGCAATGCAGAAAGAGTTCCAAAATATATTATTTTATGGTTTAAAATACAAAATGGGATGAATAGAGATCCCTGTTTCTTTGAGACGGACAATTTCTGTATATAAACATTTACCTTAGCATTGATTCTGGTTAGAAATTAAGCAATGGTTAATGTTATAAATTTTAAGTCTAACACTGTTTAAAAAGAGTCTTGGTCAGACAAAGGTTCAAAGATTACCATGTGAAGCTTATATTTAACATTATAAAAGGAGGGTCATTGGACAACAATCAAGAACCGCAAAATAATTGTTTTTCTTCTTTATTTTCAGTAAGTTCCAGTAAAAGGTAAGCAGAAAAATTAGCGAAAGTCGCCGCTATTCTAAAACACGTTTTCTTTATTTTCCGTTCTTTTTTATTGCATAAACGATTATTTTCGTTCGCTAACGATTTCAAAATCAATAAGTTTTGCCGTGAGTTAACATAATCTTCCGTTAGATTTCAAAATCAAGAAGTTTTGCCGTGAGTTAACATATTCTTCCGTTAGATTTCAAAATCAACAGGGTTTGACGTGAGTTAAAGTAATCTTCCGTTGGATTTCAAAATCAACAGGGTTTGCCGTGAGTTAACGTAATCTTCCGTTAGATTTCTAAATCAACAGGGCTTGCCGTGAGTTAACGTAATCTTCCGTTAGATTTCTAAATCAACAGGGTTTGCCGTGAGTTAACATAATCTTCCGTTAGATTTCTAAATCAACAGGGTTTGCCGTGAGTTAACGTAATCTTCCGTTAGATTTCTAAATCAACAGGGTTTGCCGTGAGTTAACAAAATCTTCCGTTAGATTTTAAAAACTTTAAAAAAAAACTACCTGTCAGTTTCCTCGTAATTAACCTCTCTGCTATCTGGGGGAGGTGGAGTATGCAGGGCAGGATTTGTCCCTAGATAGCAGACTGATAGCTCCCCCCCTGCCCCCTCCTCATCCCCCTCATCCCCTGCCTCTCCTAGCAGGACAAGAAGACCTTCTCTTCTTGAAGAAATAACACTGTCCCAGAATTTACCAAGGGTAAGGCTTCTAGGAAGGCAGGGTAGCTGGGCAGCCCATCTAGATAAACAGAAAGGGTATATACAGAGTTACCCACACATAATGAGACTGCAAAGACGACCTAAAACTCTTTAATTATTATGATCCCACTGTTAAAATAAGAGTTCTGCCTGGAATAAAGTCGTGTAATTGTTTTGATTAATAAGGTGACATGTTTAAAGTTTCAAGGAATCATGAATATAAGGAAATAGTCAGTATAGGTTCCGTATCTACACAGAATAAGACTTGAAATGAAGATCTAATGATTTTTTATTATAATGAGCTAAAGGTTAGATTTGATACATTGATATATTTTCAATACATTTATCTTGTTTACTTTTTTCGATTTATTTGATATTTTCTTGAAAGAAAAAAACAATTGTATTATTATTATCATTATTATTATTAGTATTTGTTTAGTGGTTCATACATGGTATCATACACAATAAAATTTCACGCAAAATTTTCATAAGGAAGCGTAAAGTACTGATTTTGCGTTTGCGATAAGAGTTATTATTCTTACTTGAGTGTTGAGTTATCATAAACATGAAGAGTTTTATAGTTAGAGACGATAAGAGTTATTATTCTTACTTGAGTGTTGAGTTATCATATACATGAAGAGTATTAGAGTTGGAGACGATAAGAGTTATTATTCTTGAGTCCTGTACAAGTGAAGGGTAGCTAAGTTGAGTGACTGGAGTGTAATCAAACCTCATACTCCAATTCACAGATCCTTAAAATTCAATATGAAGGGTTACAGTGAGAAATTGAAAAATGTTAAGTGAATGTCGTCATTTTTGTTTTCTTTCCTTGAGACATTTCACAAAAGGTTTGTGATTGTTGCGATTAATATATCTCGAAAAAAGCTTCTAAGGCGCCGTGTAGGCTTTTAAGAGATAGGTTAGAGGGGTAGGGTTTAATGTACAAAGAACCAAAATAGAAAACAACATGATGTGTCGTACTCGTAGCGCCTTCAATATACCTGTATCTAGGAGTATTGTTAATGTTTGTCTTGAGAGTACACTAATTAAGTAAATGACTGTATCCAACAGTATTGTTAATATTTGTCTTGAGAGTACACTAATTAAGTAATTACCTGTATCTAGGAGTATTGTTAATGTTTGTCTTGAGAGTACACTGATTAAGGCTGGCTCCTCTCTATCTAACGACTGAATAACCTGAATAATTAATTATTTTTAAATTCTTAATTAAAAGTGAGTTTCCATTTAAAGAAGACCAGTGCAATCTATTTAAACCACAGTCTGATCAACCTTTTTTTTTCTTCGTGAAAATTGAATATTTCAAATTTTTTTCTATAAAATGACAAAACTATTAATAAAAGTACTCTTAAAACATAACTGTGTCTTTTTGAGAATTTTTAAAAGATATCCATTATCATCTCTTTGAAAATTAATTAATCTTATGTGTTTTTTGTATAAAGTAAATTAGGAAATTGGCAGAAGCCAACTAAACGATGATTCATTCTGTATATCTGTAGGCTACTGTTGTAAACCGGGCATATGTCTCTTTTAAATGTCCGGATGGTCACTGGAAATAAGACTACAGTCGGCTTTTCATCAGACATCCTTTCATGAAATCGGAAATACTGTGTAGTGTGTATATTAAAAATTGCATTAATTTTAAACGTTTTAGATTACACAGGCCCGTAATTGATAAAGAATAAATGAACTCTGAGTCTGCTGCAGACTCTGAAAGTGTTCAAATCCCCAATTCTGGTTTTTTTAAAAGTTTTATATTAGAATAATAAAACTGTCTGTTTAGTCTCCACACAGATTAAATTCAACACAGGAAACTGAACTTTTTTCTTCAGCAATAAAACTATTGTGCAAAGTTACCTATAAAAAACTCCAATGTTGGCATAGCAAAATTGAATTTTAAAAAAAGCAATTTAAATTACTTCATTTTTTTAAGCGGTTGTGCTTAACCCTATCACGATGGAGGGGGTGGGTGGTTGCATATAAAATGTATGCATAGGAAAGGATTAGAGGACGGTCAAACTGGTCAAACGGCTGGCCAGTGTTTCAACAAAATTCAAAATAGTCCATAAATGTTTTATTGATATAGTCCATAAATGTTTTATTAGATTAAGCTATAACGGATCTAAATTGGATGTATAACATGTGGCAAATATATTTGTCAAAAGTAATGAGATGGTCTTGAAATGTCGGGCCAGGGACATGTATCACATTCACCTATTTTACGTATCTAACTTAAATAATCTGCAAACAAAAAATGGGAATTTGCGAAAATCCAAATTTGTATCGGGATAGTGTGCAATTATTTCTTCGCAATAGTTAACATCTCCATCCAAAAAAATGTAATTACATGCATGCCCTTGCAAACATTAATTGAATTAAATCATAAGTAGATCTGTGTATCAAGCATCTTTTTTAGCTTTTCATTAATGAAAATCTAAAAAAAAGGCAAAACATCTAAATGTGTATTTTTTCGAATTTCTTTGAGCGTTATCGGATTTTTCGTTTACAACCAGCTGAATAGAATTTAGAATTTCAAATATTTAAGAAATTTTTTGAATTTTCTTTCTTAAAACTCTGAACAGTATATTACGTAATATTGGTAAACCATGACGTTTCCAACAAACTGTACTACACATCAATTATGTATACCTGAGGTCGAAACCTTTGTTTCATAAATCTCGGGATCAAGCATTGATTTACATCGTATAAACACGGATTTACATCGTATATACACGGATTTACATCGTATATACACGGATTTACATATTATATAAACGGATTTACATCGTATATACACGGATTTACATCGTATATACACGGATTTACATCGTACATACACGGATTTACATCGTATATACACGGATTTATATCGTATATACACGGATTTACATCGCATATACACGGATTTACATCGTATATACACGGATTTACATCGTATAAACACGGATTTACATCGTATATACACGGATTTACATCGTATATACACGGATATACATCGTATATACACGGATTTACATCGTATATACACGGATTAATTTCATTCTTTATCGATAAGTATTTTATTGTTGATATCTTGCAGGAAGAACTTTAATTCAGGAATGAAGTGTTAATCCTAAAGGAACTAAGTTTTTGCCACAAACTCTGATTTTCTAATCGCTACTCTGATTTTCTAATCGCTACTCTGATTTTCTAATTGCTATATTTTTGCAGCCAAATGTTGTAGACTTCAACTTTTTTAAACTATAAATTATTTTAGAGCAAATAATCTGGATTTGAAATATAAAAGGTTTACACCATCAGGTTGCAAATAAATAAGGAATAAGAACATTTGAATTTGTGACAAAAAGTTATTTTCACATCGGATAGCAAGATCAATCGTTCAAGGTTTAACGATATTTTACACAAAAGATCCTATCTCTGAATTCATTAAAAATGTATAACTTTAGGTAGAACTTTTGTTTTCCAACCTTTTATAAATATTTAATGTCAAATTTCACAAAATTTAAAATGCTTTTATTTTGTTTAAGTGAAACAAGAAACTTACATTTTGCATGCAGTTATACAAAAGAATGTTTTAAAGAAAATAAATTTATCGGTGTACTGTCAAAACCAAGATATATAGATAAAAACCTTATACGACTTCACTGATTACAGAGGCGAGAGTGACGTCATATGAGGTTTTAACATTCTATCTTAGGAAACGACATTTTTCGTACATTGAAGCGCATTAAGAGTAACCTAAGAAAGAAGAATAAAAACCTCATATGACTTCACTGATTACAGAGGCGAAAGTGACGTCGTATGAGATTTTTTATCATTCTATCATTGAAGAGCATTGAGAATAACCTAGCTTATTATACAACCTTGAGCAAACCAAATATTTGTGAAAACAACAAATAAATTGAAACAAAAAGTACAATTTATAAAAAAGTGCTGTACGGTGCATCTGACTTTCATTTTTCATTTACAGCCCCTTTAAGGTCCAGAGTTTTCTTGTGACTGAGAATTGTATCAACTCGTACCTGGTTTAAAATATACCTGAATATTATAAATGGGTTCTCCTATATTGGTTTTCCATGAAGCTGATAGGCGTCTCCCTCCTTGAGCGTCCTGATACAGTGAGAAACATTAAAACGTGAAATGGGAGGACGACATTTAGGCATTATTTTGTGTATTTACTGTTCTTATCAGTGGGTGAACAAAACTTATTGTTACTGATGCTTTATTATCAGTGACTTAAATTATTGTCAATCATGTTTGAGTCTAATAGTCAACTTCCAAATCCACAGTTTTATAAGTCCCTTTGTATAAAATCAGAGTCCATTTACATAAAATCAGAGTCCCTTTGTATGAAATCAGAGTCCCTTTGTATGAAATCAGAGTCCCTTTGTATAAAATCAGAGTCCCTTTGTATAAAATCAGAGTCCCTTTGTATATCATCAGAGTTCCTTTGTATAAAATCAGAGTCCCTTCGTATAAAATCAGAATCCCTCTTCGTAAAAAATCAGAGTTCCTTCGTATAAAATCAGAGTCCCTTAGTATGAACGTATTATAACGATAAATTAAAATTGGTTATCTTAGTTTGATCTAGTTCCTTAAGATCTACTTTCTACACTATTGTCGGCTGGATTACAAAAAGCATATAAAAAAAGACCAAAAAAATTACTGGCCTTTAGTCAAAACTGTAATTTTAACATATGTTCACAGTCCTGTTTTACATTTAGTTGTTTAACAAACTATTTTACTTTAGGAAGAAATTTTTCAAAATGATTTAGATTTTTCACATGTTGGATAAAATGTAAATAAAAAAACGATTGTCCCCAGTTTGCGCCAGACGGCCCTATAGAAGAAATATAAGTCTGATGGCTGAAAATTATATTTACAACACAAAACATTTTTTTTTTCATTTGTTCTTTAAAAAGCTGACCTGTAATTCTTTCTTTCCATCTGATGAGGTTGCCAGCTCACGATATTTATAGCTCTCTACACTAAACAGGAAGAATTGTAAATATACAGGGTGTTTCTTTCTAAACAGGTAGAATTGTAAATATACAGGGTGTTTCTTACAAAAATAGATAAGTTTAGATATACAGGGTGTTTCTTACTATACAGAGAGAATTTTGTAAATATACAGGGTGTCCAACAAAACAGAGAGAATGGTAAATATACAGGATGAACCTCTAAACAAAGATGATTTGTAATGTATATAGGGCGTCACAGTCAACAAAGAGCTTATAAATAAGCATAATGTCCCAAAAAAACTGTATGAAAAAAATTTTACAACTTTTATTCTTGGTTTATGTTTATTGGGCAAAGAGAATAGAATATAAATTAGAGGGGAATTTACTAGAAAAACGTGTAAAACGGCCATTTTGTTGTACTGTTTCCATACTACAGGTGTAATTCACATATTTATGCTATGTAACCTTTTGGGCCCTGGAATATCATTTTATAGAAAATCTAAAATTAATGTAAAAAGAAAACCAAATTATGAAATATGCTGGTTTCATAATTGACCAATGATAATTTCACATAGACTCTATGCCTTTCACTTTACAAACGATGATTTTCCGTTATTACTATAAATCAAATGATGTTTTATTCACCTAATTCATTATAAAGTTTATTTAACAGCGTTAAAAAATCCGAAATTGAAATGAATAGTCTAGGGAACATACTATATTAATGTACTCTACTGCATATAATTTGTGAACATTTACATGATTTGTACACGTTGAACTCCCTTTCAGGCAAAATTCAAACCGAGAGATTCCCTAAATTCCCCTCTAATATATATTCTATTCTCTATATTATTGGGAAACCCTGTAGTTTTAATAAAGCAGATAAAGAACAAACAGGTTTGTGTCCAGTGACGAGATAGGTCTGCTGAAAAGGAGGTTTGTGTCCCGTGACGAGATAGGTCTGCTGAAAAGAAAGGTTTGTAAGTCCCATGAAGAGCTAGGTCTGCTGAAAAGAAAGGTTTATGTTCCGTGACGAGACAGGTCTGCTGAAAAGAAAGGCTTATGTTCCGTTACGAGACAGGTCTGCTGAAAAGATAAGTTTGTGTCCTGTGACGTGAAAGACCTGCAAAAAAGATAGGTTGTTGTCCCATGAAGAGAAAGATCTGCTGAAAAGGAAGGTTTATGTAGTCTCATGACGAGATAGGTCTGCTGAAAAGAAAAGTTTGTGTCCCATGACGAGAAAGACCTGCTGAAAAAAAAGTTTATGTTCCGTGACGAGACAGGTCTGCTGAAAAGATAAGTTTGTGTCCTGTGACGTGAAAGACCTGCTAAAAAGATAGGTTGTTGTCCCATGACGAGAAAGATCTGCCGAAAAGAAAGGTTTGTGTAGTCCCATGACGAGATAGGTCTGCTGAAAAGAAAAGTTTGTGTCCCATGACGAGAAAGACCTGCTGAAAAATAAAAGTTTGTGCATTCCCATGGCGAGATAGGTCTGCTGAAAAGAAAGGTTTATGTTCCATGACGAAACAGGTCTGCTGAAAAGAAAGGTTTATGTTCCATGACGAGACAGGTCTGCTGAAAAGAAAGGTTTGTGCAGTCCCACGGCGAGATAGGTCTGCTGAAAAGAAAGGTTTATGTTCTATGACGAGACAGGTCTGCTGAAAAGAAAGGTTTATGTTCCATGACGAGACAGGTCGGCTTAAAAGAAAGGTTTGTGTAGTCCCCTGGCGAGATAGGTCTGCTGAAAAGAAAGGTTTATGTTCCATGACGAGACAAGTCTGCTGAAAAGAAAGGTTTATGTTCCATGACGAGACAGGTCTGCTGAAAAGAAAGGTTTATGCCCTGTGACGAGACAGGTCTGCTGAAAAGAAAGGGTTATGCCCTGTGACGAGACAGGTCTGCTAAAAAGAGGTTTGTTCAAAACAGTAAAAAAACCAAAAAGTGCTGAAACAATTTAATATATTTATTCCTAAAGAACAAGAATTGCTCCCTTTAATCATTTGATATTCCAGAGTTGGACTAATAAGAGATATTAATTGTTTAAAAATAAGGTTGGAGGCGAGTATCCAGTTCATTTTTCTACATTTTAAACGCAGTTTTATGAACAAACTTAGGTTCACACGTTTTTACAAATAGTCAAGAACATCCCCCTTGCAACCTGCCTACATGATCTTAATAATGATGATCTATATTAAAAGGAACTGAGTTTTTGCCACAAACTTTGATTTTTTCTTAACTATATCTTAGAGCTCAATGTTGCAGAACGTTGATACATCAAAACGATAAATTCTATTAGATCGTATAATTTAAGTTTGAAATATCAAAAGTTTACAACATAATTTTGTAAAGATCAAGAAATTAGAAAAATTATGTTTGTGTCAAAAACTCAAATTCTTTGGCTTGTCTTTTTTGTTTCGAGAAAAGTCGAAACAGCTGAACCGATCAGGCACAAATTTTTGTGTGACAACCCATATTTTGCCATTAAAAAAAGAAGATTTTTCGAACATTAATTGGGACTTGAAAAAGTGAAATTGTTTCCAGAAAAGAGCTTGAAAGAATTGTATTAATAACAATAATAAATATATTGAAAATAATGATAATAATTATAGTAGTCGTTTATCTGAATAATATTAAATATAATTTTGTTGTATTTTTGTACTTGTTAACTTTCAAGAGCTCCTAAATTCAATAATATAGATTTTATAAGTTTGTTCTGATTGAAATGTTTAATTTTACTTTCTTGAAAAAAAATAAAAGTTAAAATTCTCCTTCCACATTTCATTCAAAAAGTGTTAGTAAACAAGGCTTTAAGGGCACTTCGCCCACATATTCTATTTCATTTTTAAACATTTTCTCTTTGTATTTATTGTAAAAAAAAATCAAAAAAATCGCGGCTTTATATACATCGTAAAACAAAAACAAAGAAAATGGCGGACATTCTAAAAAATCGTCGATTTTCTAAATTTTGTTAGAGGCAAATTTTTGAAAATTCGATCATTCATAAACCTTTCCTGTGGTCATGTGTCCCACACAAAATTTGGATCGATCGGTTCAGCCATTTGACGCATAGTATACATAAAGATATAGAGATTTATGAGATATTAACCACACAATCATGAAATATGTTTTAATCTTTAACATAGTTATAATGATTTTATCTTATCAAAACGTATTGTAAAATAACACATAATCCATAATAAAATTTAGACATTTGGAAGATTTTTAGTTTTTCTATTAGTGGATTTTCACAAAACGTTTAATGTTTTACCTTGTAAATGAATGAGAATCCTGTTCAAATATAGAAATAGCTCCATCTAGTGATAACACAGCAATATACTCTCTGGTTTGTCCTCCCCCGAAGGACCCAGTTACAAAAGAATAAGAAGATCTAAAAAAGATCAAAATACAGATATTGTGAATATTGTGAATTAAGTTTTTTCTTTTCCTAACTCTTGAGTGTCAACAGTAAAGGAACTGTAGATTTAATAACAGGGACCTGCCGATTCACATCGGTAACCTTTACACTTTCCTTGGGAAAATATATACTTTGGACAAAGTTACAACACTGTTTCTAAAGCACAAATGAGAAAGTTATTATATAAAGAAGCCACAACTAAAAACAATCATTTTTCAAAGAGAAAATTATTGATATCTCATGCACATCCTTTAATTAAGGTAACTTTAGGAAGTCTGGCTTAATTTGAAAAAGTTTGTTTGTACTTACATTTTTTGTACTTTATTTTTTGAATTTCAACAAAAATATAAAACTGTGGAAGATAAACTATATAAATATAAATATAAATATATATATAAACATATATTAAACATGTAAAAGTCTACACCATGTTATGGTCTAAAGTTTCCAAGTTTTATAGAAAAGCTTCCACCAAGAAAAATAACATTTCATAAAAGTTTTCATTATGATTTTTAGAAACCATAAAGAGTGGATATTTTGAAGAACTTATCTCAGATTTAGAATCCCAAGAGAATACTTGAAGAAACTTCAAGAGGAGAGAAAACATTGTTTATTTCGGAAGAAAAATATGTTAACCGGGATATTTTTGTGAAGACTTAAATCTTACATATCAGATCTAGGGTTTCTATGCGCAAGGCGATTTTAACTGCGGACAATTGCAAGCTCTTCAATTGAGCACAATTCCGAACAATTCCGCACAATTCAGCGCAATTCAAGCACTATTCTCCTCAAATCCGTGCAATTCAAGCCAACTTCAACAAATTCTGCGATTCCGAACAACGAAATTCCGTTTGGTAAACCTAGATAGAACCTTTTTCTCAGAAAAATCCCTTCTAAAATATTAATATTTGATATTTGTTTTTAATATTAAATTTCTTAGTTTTTAAACTAAACTATGATAAAATTCTTTAATGACAGTTTTGTAAAACAGCAAAACATTCCATTAATAAAAGATAAAATATTTATTTGTAAATCATTAACGAATGACACAGATCTTTCATGACAAATAAAAAATAATAAATTTGATTAGCGAACGGGGAAAAAACGTTAACTGATATGTAAGTTTAAAATGGAACAGTTACTTGAGGAGCTGTTCACCTCGTTAATGTTTCTATCCATTTACGAACAAATTGAATAAAGATTGAACTTCACAAAACCGCTTGTAATAGCTAGATCAAAAAAATAAAAAATATAACGAATCTCTGAGTGTGAACTTGTAGAGCCTTCTTATTTTTCAACCCCATCAGATACAAGAGAAGATTAAGTTTTAAGTTGTAGCTTTATACTAACTTTGTTTTTGATTTATTATCTCACAAACTTTTACTTTATAAATCACATAACAGCAGTCTTATAATATCTCAGCAGACAAAACATGTTTGCAATACATATTTTTGAAAAGAAAATTTAAACGAATTCAACAATTAAAAGTTAACATATTTTTTAAACCTATCTATTGGAGAACGTGTTTTCCACCCCCCCCCCCCATTTGGGTGTTTCTGCATAGCTTTAAATCGGCTTACACTAATGCACTCAAAGTTTTTTCCCTTTTCCAACCTTATAAGTGAAGACTAATAAATTATAAGTCTTTGTCACAAACTCAAATTTTCTAATTCCTATATTTGCCACCTGATGCTGTAAACATTTCATATTTCAAACTTATATTTTTTAATCAAACAGAATTCATAGTTTAAAATATCTAAGGTCTACGACATTGGGTTTCAACCATAAAGGGATTAGAAAATCAGAGTTAGTGGCATTGACTCAATTCCGTTTACAAAAAAATCTGACTGTACCTAGTAAGGATATGTTGATAAACAAGTGTCAAAGCATAACTGTCTCCCTGTGCATCTGTTCCCTGGTTTCTAGACAGATAGAATACAGACAGCTGTCTAGGGTGCAGGACAGCTAGCTGTTGAGATCCTCCAGACTGGGAACCTGGAATGTTACATTGTCATGAATTGAATAAAAGGAACTGATATTCACCTCAAGCTAACATTTTTAATCCCAATATCTTGCAACCTGATGGTAAAAATTCTTTTTTCAAGCTTTGATTTTTTGAACAAGCAGTTTTAATATCAAAGTTTAACGCCATCAGGTTGCAAAGATGTAAGAATTAGAAAATTAGAGTTGAGGCAAGTATTTAGTATATACTACAGATTAAAATATGCTTTAGCTAGGGTTTCCATCAAAATTTTCGTTGAACAAAATTCGCGAAAATGTTTGATAAAAATCGAAGTTTTTCCATTTCGCAAACATTTTTTGACAAATTTTACGAAAATGAACAAAAAATTCTCGTTTTCGTTTACATTTTAGTTGGCTGAACGAAATTTTCGCGAAAGAGATTGAACGAAAAAGGCATAAAACAAGATTGATGATTTTATTATTTTAAAAATAGAATTTTAGAGTAAAAGATTATCCGTGGCTTCGTCCTACCTGACATAAAAGTTCCACATTTCAGCTGGAGGATTGGTGCTCCTAGTCGTTGTTCTAGCATTAGATCTTCAACACTAAAATAGTAAATTTTAAAGGGACTGTCACTGAAATTTTAAGGTATCTTTGATTAAGTGGCATGTTCTACTCACAAGGAAACTCTTTAATTCATTATTTGATCAATGGGTAAACAATTTCCCCTGCAGAAATCCTTAAACTACAACAATAAACCTATCAAATTTTAAGAGGGAAAACATGGATATATTATTTATTCTTGAAAAGAATGGGGTGTGAAATTGTGAATCAGACATGCCACTTGGATTCATGGAGGGTCCATAAAAATAAAGCTTTCAGTACTTTTAAAAAGACTGTGACCATTATTTCTATTTTTTCATATTGAACTCTTTTGTAAGTTTATTGTTTGAAAATGAATAATACGATTTTAAAACGCTATCGATGCAGTAAATGCTCAATTTGATTCTGTATATTTTATTGTTAACTTGGACATCATTATAAAGATTTTTAATCATTAATTCACCTATATTTAACCAGAAAAATGTTTAGTTCTTTCAAAAAAGGAATAAAAATCATAAAATCTTCTAATTAGACATATTATTAAAAGAAAACACTAAAGAATCAAAATAAATCAAAACATGGGGACACATTAATTAAAAACTTTAAAAGATAATTTAATAAACTTTGATAAAAAAGGAAAAAAATGTTACTTAATATCACCTGTATCCTTGATCCTGCCTGGCAGTTGGTTGATAAACCTGTAGCAAACCAGTCAGAGATCCAACAATAATCTAAATATTACAATTATTTTATTTGGAGGATTTCATTCAAATGTTTAGGAGATTTTCAATAATGTAAGTAATTAAAACATTGGATTCATTTTTTTTTTCAAACTAGAAGCGAAATTTGAACCAATTCAATTACTTCATTTGGAGGATTTTTATTGTTCCAAATGGCAAGCAAATTTTCAGCAAGACAGTTGGTAAAAATTCAAAAATTTAAACAATTGATTTATTACATTTTGAGGATTTTCTTCTATACAAATTTAAATACTTAATTAAATACAATTACATTCAATTAAATGCAATTTATACTTTGGTAGATTTAGAAGAAATATTTTTAAAACTTCCCAACCAGTGGCCGAATTTAAATAATTTGAGCGGCGGTTTAAATTTAAGCCGCGGCTTAAATATGGTTGTTCCATTTAAAATTGTATCAAATGTTTCAAGATTTAAGCCGGCGCTTAATTTAAATCGGATTTTGGCGGATTTAAACTGCGGCTCAAATTCTTTAAATTCCATCTCAGAGCAGTTTAAGTCCTGTACAGTCCTTTTCAATTGAGTTTATGATTCTGCATTTTTTATAAATATGTTTTATTAAAGTTGGCTTTGGATAATGTGTTGCACGGTTGCACCTCTAAATTTAGACTTTAAGACCTTTCTATTTTAAGGGAAGGGAGGGGGGGGGGGACTTAATGTTGCATGATTATTAGTTTTTTTTCCTCCTCAACGGTTTCTCTATAGGGGTTTGGAATATATTAGGTTTATTATCTTTAATAACCTTAATATTTCTTTTTTATTGCATTTGTAAACAATTCTTTTTTTTTACATGTGCATACTTCGTACTGTATTGTGATTTATACTTGTGAGTTAGAGAGATAGGGTTTTTGTTAATATAAAGTATTCATCATTTTGCAAGAATGGCCGGATTGATTTGTGTACACTTGAGTTTTTTCACTGTTCTGTGAAAAGAACCCAATGTACTGTAATCTGATGTTCTAAAAGTTGTACCCACTTTAAATTGTACAGTCCTCATGTACAATGTACAGGACAGTCAGATTACTGTGCAATTTAAACATTACAGTGTACAAGGTACTGTACAGTGTACAAGGTACTGTACAGTGTACAAGGTACTGTACAGTGTACAAGGTACTGTACAGTGTACAAGGTACTGTATACAGTGTGCAAGGGACTGTACAGTGTACAGGGTAATGTACAGTGTACAAGGTACTGTACAGTGTATAAGGTACTGTACAGTGTACAAGGTACTGTACAGTGTACAAGGTAATGTACAGTGTACAAGATACTCTACTGTGTACAAGGTAGTGTAAAGTGTACAAGGTACTGTAAAGTGTACAAGGTACTGTACAGTGAGCAAGGTACTGTACAATCTACAGGGTAATGTACAGTGTACAAGGTACTGTACTGTGTACAAGGTACTGTAAAGTGTACAAGGTACTGTAAAGTGTACAAGGTGCTGTACAGTGAACAAGGTACTGTACAGTGTACAAGGTACTGTACTGTGTACAAGGTACTGTACCGCGTACATGGTACTGTACAGAGTACAAGGTACTGTACAGTGAACAAGGTACTGAACTGTTTACAGTGTCCTGTACAATGTACAGTACCAAGTACAGTTTACATCCCAAAACTATACCTGTTGGTTACCCTGTTCGCCTCCTGTTAGAGTTCCAACTGAAAGAGAACTACTAGTTTCCTCCCTTCTACCTGCAGACCACCATTCACGGGCTTTAAACAACGACATTTTACCTGAAACAAAAACGCTTCAATTCAGTTTAGTTATTAATCTGAAATTGAACGCCAAATCTACTGTATAAAATATTGAACTTATGGTAAAGGTAAAAAGTGTATTATGTAAGTATCTCAGAAAATTAACAATATTCAAATTATTTATCGAACAACTTGTATTTTTATTATATGCTTAATTATATGGAGAAAAGTATAAGAGTTTTTTTGTTTATATATTATGACATTTCCCCAATATTTCAAAAATGCATATGAAGAAAAGTTCTCGATCAACCAATCTGTTCAACCATTTTGTGAATTAGAGGTTTAAAAAAGTATTTAAATATTTTGTGTGAAAAATCTATATATGGAAGTTTCAATATTGTGCAGATGTAAATGGTTTGGTGACAAAATGTCAATAAATATATTCAAAGTCAAATTTCACCGTGTTTATTATTATTTCTGACTGAGGTATGAGAAAGGAAAATAAATAGTGGAGTGTATCTTTCTATCTATATTTTTACCTATCTATCTATCTATATTATTTATCTATCTATCTATTGGATTAAGTACCTGGGGAAAGGAATTAAAACCACATAACAATTTGTGCTGTGGAGGCTTTCTTTTCAAACATATATCTTATATGTTATAAACAAAACAATAACCACTGCTATTTTTATATTTTGTTGTTGCTTTTTATATTTCAACATAACATTTAAAAAAAAATGTTGTTAATTTATCCCCATTCTCTCCAATATTTTAGATATTTTATTTCAAACTTTTACAGTTTTCATAAAAATTAATGTATTTCCCAAACTTTTCTGAAACTTTTCTTTCCAACCATTGAACAAAATTCAGAGATTGAAACCGCTTAGAGCAAAGATAAAGGTGAGAGATTTCAAATATTTTCTGCAAGCCTCACACACTATTGCACAGTCTGTATATATATACTTGCATTCAATATTTGTAACTTAGTGAATAAAACTGCAAAGGCTAAATCATAAAGATGGTATTTACCTGCACTGTAAAAAATTGGTTATTTTTTAATATGGTATAGTAAAAAAACACAAAATCAATAGATGACCGTTTAACCTCTATTTCAGGTGTATAAAAAGCATGTATAATAATATGTTAGGACGGGCCGGGTCGATTCCATGGGGTGCGTTGACCCTCCCCTTTGAAATATCTTTCATATGCAATATCTAAATTTGTCCATTTTTTAGCATAACACATTCACAATTACGTTCAGAACAATATGAAAAAAATGAAAATTTCCATTTTATTATTAATATATTTTGTTAGCAAAAATAAAATTGAAATTAATACCCCCCCCCCCCTCCCACCCCTCCAGGAGTGATAAATTTAATAGAACTAAAATATTAATTTTTAACCAATATTTGACTCCTGGTCTAGAAAGATACTCTACCTCAATGTCCAATATCTATCAGAAATAAATTGAGCACCTTACACTGATCCAGATTGCTTCAATACTGAGCACCTTACATTGATCCAGATTGCTTCAATACTGAACACCTGACATTGATCCAGATTGCTTCAATACTGAGCACCTTACATTGATCCAGATTGCTTTAATACTGAGCACCTGACATTGATCCAGATTGCTTCAATACTGAGCACCTTACATTGATCCAGATTGCTTCAATACTGAACACCTGACATTGATCCAGATTGCTTCAATACTGAGCACCTTACATTGATCCAGATTGCTTTAATACTGAGCACCTGACATTGATCCAGATTGCTTCAATACTGAGCACCTTACATTGATCCAGATTGCTTCAATACTGAGCACCTGACATTGATCCAGATTGCTTCAGTACTGAGCACCTTACATTGATCTAGATTGCTTCAATACTGAGCACCTTATATTGATCCAGATTGCTTCAATACTGAGCACCTGACATTGATCCAGATTGCTTCAATTTTCAAGACTGGGTCAACTTTAAAGTGTTTCAACACCATTTGTTCTAACAATGTAATTATGCTTTTTTTATAGATTTAAAATTCAGTGATGGTGATGGACCAAACCTCTGTAGAGTAAAAAAGTAGAAGTTAGTCCCACATTTATTGAAAATATATTTCGGTCTGGGTTGACCCTCGTCAGTTCTAACGATATAATAACCATCAAAATCGATAAAAAAAAAATTTAAAAATGTAAAAATCACAAGAATATAAACAAATAAAAAGATTATTCAAAATAAAAATTTGGGCTGTCAAATGGACATAAGGGAAAAGAACTCAGATTATGAGATGGAAAAAAGATAATTTGCAAATATTCACTTTCTAAAAAAAAGTTTTTTTGTACTACCCAATTTTATCCATTAAATGAACATTTTATACTTTATTGTTGGGCTATATATTTTAAATATATTTATTCACACACATAGATATACATACTACTAATGGTGTACTTTAAATTTGTTTTGTTCAAATCATGTTAAAGTTTTGGTATTGAATATTCATTGTGCTTCAAATATATACATATTCATTCTCATAATAATCTCTTATTTCATAAACCTGCAATTTCAAAGAAATCTTATAGACAGCTTTTTAATAATCAAACAATTACACTATATACACTATAAACTATATTGATGCAGGAAAACTAATCCAAATGTTAGCAATCATTGAGAACAAATCAGCTCTCGGTGTTTCTAGCTGACTTGAGCTGAAAATGGTGGATATAGAGATTAATGCGTAATCTTCTCTTTTTCTTAATATCGAGACTAACCTAATCTTGTACTTGTATCCTGAAAAGTGTATAAAATTCAACCAATCACAGTCGCGTATATGAAGGCAATATATTTGAAATTTTGCGCGCATTTTAAGATTATACACAGAAATGGAAGGAACTCTCTAATTTAGAAAACCCGGTTTTTGATTTTTCTCTACTTTATCCAAGAAAGAACGGTTTAATAATAAAATCAAAAGTGTGTCCATTGGAATTGGTATTAAGGATATCTCATTCTAAAGTTTTCAGCTTCGAACTCATTTCACACTCAATAATAAAGGATCTAATCCATTATAATGATGGGAGTAATTTAAAATAAAAATATGAATATGAATATGAATGTCACACTCAATAATAAAGGATCTAGTCCATTATAATAATGGGAGGAATTTAAAATAAAAATATAAATATGAATATGAATGTCACACTCAATAATAAAGGATCTAGTCCATTATAATGATGGGAGTAATTTAAAATAAAAATATGAATATGAATGAAAATATCATTGGATCACTGTTACCGTAGCAAGCTAATCTGTCAGTAAACTTAATAAAACTCTTCTTAAAACTTTGAAATGGATTCCAAATAATCTTTACACTCATTATTGAGAAATTAAAAATATTTCTATTATCCAGAGTCTGAAACTAAAAAATGCCTGAAATTAAAGTTATAGAAAATATAATGTAAATAAAAACTAACAATAAAATATAATGTTTCTAATAAAACAAATTGCATATCTCCGTACAAATGCATTCTTATGAAACCCGGTTTTCAATGCTAGGTTTCATAACAAAAACTATTAAGTTTTGGGCTAAGGAGAGAGGGTAACATTAGCTTCAGGACTAAAGCTGAACTATCAATAACTGTAGTTGCAACGATTTTTAATTCAGGGATCGCATTGAAGGCACTGTAGGCGTAATTTCAAGTGGCTTTTGATACAAAATGACCAAGATTCTTAACAATGTTAAAAATTAGATATCAATGTTTATTGTTTTGAAAAACTGATTATTTTCCAATGTGGTTTCTCTACAAAAGAAACTTGCGTATCTCTTTAACTGCATAGAAAACATATGGGATATCATCATAATTAAACTTATAATCTTATAAAATCAACATTATCTTCAACATTATTGATCAGACAATAGTTTCAACGTTTTAACCCTATTCCTGCTGGGGGGGGGGAACAATTTGACCCCCCCTATAGTTTTTTTTTACATAACTCAAAAAGTATTGGTCTGAGGCTGTTGAAATTTTCTGACTTTTCTTACATACCCAAAGCCCT